TTGAACTTGAAAGCTTGCATAAATTAAAATTTTATCCGTCTGTACTCTTATTGATGATAAAAATGAGCCAATCAGCGCGCGAGAAATTGGACAGTTATTATAAAAAAAAAACAAATTCTAAAAAAAACAGAAAATCCGCCAACCGTTATGAACAACAAAACCGAAAAACCGAAGTTTCTTGGCACAAAAACCGTAAAATCGATCTCAAAAATGGGCAAAACCGTAAAACTGAAAATCCCAACGACCCCGTCAGAATTTAATTATCCAGTAATATTTCTAAATCTTCCTCGGAGCGTAAGTGAAACTCACGCTACATCTGGCCACTGCACTCTAATAAAAAATCAGATTATGAGCTCAAGATTTTTATTTAAACAGTAGAGTGTTTCTGTCGAGGAACTATCGGCTGATAGTTGGCCCGTGGAAATTTGATGTTCTTAAAACTAGCATATTTGGCCTCGAAGCAAATGTGCTAGTTTTAAGAACATCAAATTTCCAAGGGGCAACAGTTCCGAGACATAAACACTCTACTGTCTTTATTGTTCGCCAAGAAATTTTCTTCCGTGCGCCACTTCAAAAATCATACAGAATTATTTTCAACTTTTTTAGTTTTTTTCATTTGTTCTTAAAGCCTGTACCCCTTTTGTTCTTAGGGCTAGCGGGGTTCTTTACTTGATGTTTCCTTTGGCCAGTTTTGAATAACCTTGTTAACGGTGGAGATCGCCACCTAATCTTAGACCTCTCAGCGATAACTGAAGTATGGGTGATAAAATGTGACGAGTGAAATTATCGTCAAAATTCTTATAATTTCTGGAAATTATTCGCATTTTGAAAAATCGCATTTGACAAAGTACGCTTACAATCGTGGTTTTTTGACTAGACTGCTCACAGCCCTCTATTCGATCGTTGAATGCGTGGATAAAATCGCGAGCGAAGTGGACGTCAGTGCAAAACGGAAGACTTGACTAGGTAGGGACTCGCTTCGCTTTTTCCTTCGCGTGCGTAAATAGAGAGGCTGTGAACAGTTTAGTTTCTGACTTGTTTATTGTATGGGACCATTACGCACCAAACGTTGCCATGGCAATTTTATAATATCACATTAAATTAACAAAATTTTTAACATAAATTAAGCTGAAGGAGTAATTTGTCAACCATGGTATTATGTGACGCCGTTGAAAATTCTTAATCAGCGAAAAAAGTCATATAGAATGAAAAAATACACTCCCCTAAGAAGTTTATTTTGCAGATTCTTTTTGTGTGTAACTTCCTTGGTAATTTCCACAAATAGGTCATTTTCCAATTCCTCCTCCTGGAAAATTATGACGTCATTGTGTTTGCGCTTGAAATTCCGTTTCAGATCACTTCCGGTACTGGCGGATTTGCATTATGGGAATGATTTTAACTCTTCCCGGTTGAGCGAGCAAAAGATGGCTGCCACTATAAAAGATACGGAGGAGGACACCTCCAGAAGAAAACACATCAAAGCTGTGTTAGTGAACAAGCTTGAGGGGTGCAGTGATATAGTTAATATGGCTGTTACAATCCCGCACGAAGACGCAGTAATTAGTGTTTCGGATGACAAGTGCGTAGAAAATCCTTCTGGACTCGATGTTTAGAAGTTTCGCATATAAATGTTGTTTTGGCAGAATTGTTAATCACATAATTGTTCAGTTCGGGTGGCGGTAATCTTGGCTGTGTTGGTGTTTCATTCACAGGAGTATAAGGCTTTGGATTAAACGAGAGAGTGGACAATACTGGCCGAGCATTTGTCACGTTATGGAATGTAAGTTTGGATCGATGGAGAGTTTTATTTTTTTAGAGCTCTGTGTCATGGTTTTTCTCCTCGTCTTATCAGGTCTGAACTATATGATGCTTCTTTGCTTAGTGCATGTCACAGATTGAAAGACCTTGTGTTTTGGTTAGCTTTGATAGTGTCTGCTATCCACAGCTATTCTTTGCAAAAAGCGGATTGCTTCACTTACCGTACCGAAACTGTTTTAATTGCACGATATTTTCACTGCATATTAATTTATTTGTATTATGCAAGCTTACTTATAATGTTTTATTATTGCTTCAGGGTTATAATTTCATTGATTTCGTTTTCAGCTGCATGCTCTGCCTTAGATTATCATGGAACAAGTAGAAGATTGTTTGTAGGATTGGATAGCGGTACCATTTCAGTAAGTTTATTTTTCCCACATTTGTATATTGGTTCTTTTAAAATGTTTAAGGAATTGCTCCTGGTACGCTAATGTATGCATCAATGTATGCATCCTTGGCTATTATGCACATGAATAAATTTAGTAGTGGACCTACATCTTGGGTTTATTGCCTGGGAATTCTCCATTTCTTTCAGAACAGTCCATTAATTTTTGTAAAGGAAAAACACTTCCTTGCTACCAGTACTTGTATAATTGTATTGAAAAAACCTTTGAAAATAATTGCGCAAAGCATTTGCCTGAGCCTTCTCTATCTACTTCCCTTGAGTTTTTAAAACTTATTCATTTCTTGGGTGCTTGCACTGTAAACTTCCAAAAGTAACGACCCTCCAAAAGTAGCAACCCCCTGAAAGTAACGTCAAAAAATTGTGGACAATAATAAATCCTGAAAGTGAAGACCCCCGAAAGTAGGGAGCCCACCCCCCACCAATCCCCCCTCCCAGAAAATAGTGAGACCCGGGTTCAATAGCATGTTTATTTTTCTGATCAATAATCAGGTGAAAAGTTACATATGGTAAGTTGATTTAAGGCACTTTACAACAAGGGAGGGTATTGCTTATTCCACGAAGCGTTGCAAAATGTCAATCCATGCTTCACCAGTTAATGTTGTGCTTTGTGAAAACAAAAGCCATAAAATTTTCATCAAGTAACAGGGACATAATACAGGAAACTTTGATTCAGATTAACATCATTTTCAACAGGAGCATATTGAATGGAACATTTCTTCAAATTTAAATTTAAAACTCAACCAGTGTACTGAGATTTTGTTAGAGCAGCCTAACATAGCAGTACATCATGAAGTACAAACAGTTTATGGTATCTAACCAACTTTCCTGCCGACCACTGACAACACGGTCCAGACATGAAGAGCTCACCCATGTAACAGCAATATAAATTTGAACTGGAAGAAGAGCCTAGTTGTACATGTACCAACTTTTTCTTTTTGTTTAATTGATTTACAAACACAATATACATAGGAAAAAACTAAACAAATAAAAAGAGGAAATAATAATATCACAACACAAATACTTACTTAGTTACAGTACAATATGATTGTTTACATGTACCAACTTTATGTAACCTTATTTTTGCTCCCAGAAAGTAACGACCCCCCTGAATGTAGCGAGTCTTAAAGGCTGCTAATTCCAAAAGTAATGAGGGTCATCACATTGCTGTCAGAGCTTTAAGACAGGTCATGTTTTTTATCATTTCATCTGCCAGTACATCGCTGTTTTCTCACTATGGGGCAGCATGGATGGCGCATTGGTGAGAGCACTTACCTCCCACCAATGTGACCGGCTCAGTTCTGGCCTGGTGCCTGTTGAGTTTGTTGGTTCTCGCCTTGCTTTGAGGGTTTTTCTCTGGGTACTCTGGTTTTCCTCCCTCCACAAGAACTAACATCTCCAAATTGCAATTGGATCAGGATATAGGATCCTCTCTAAATATTATGATGTAAAAATTTGAATTTGTCACTTGTCGGAAGTTTACCTTGTCAGGGTCTCTT